CCTGTCACTTTCGTTTGCTACACTCACGTTAGAAACATGAAGGTAACGCGCTGCCTGTCTGTGCTGCGTTCAGGTGGAGTTGGAGACGGCACATGCAGAGTTGAAGCTGACTAACGCCACCCAAAGGCTGCAGAGGCTGGAGCAGGAAGTACTGCTGCTGAGAGACAAAGGTCTGAACGTCACTGTGAGCACCGAACGCACCAATCGAGATGCAGCGAGCATCAGAAAGGTTGCAGAGGACGTGAAGAAGGTGAGTTCACCTAAAGGACACTCAAACATCTGCAGATATCTTCTAGTTGATGTTGATCAGGAGCTGTGTGTGTGTGTGTGTGTGTGTTTTGTGTAGGACCTGGACTCGGAGCTGAAGGAGAAGTATGCCAAAGTGGAGCAGCTGATTGGTCAGAAGGCCGGGGGTGTCGCTAATGCAAAGAAGAGGGCGGAGTCACTGCAGCAGGAAGCTAAAGAGCTGCTGCTGAAGGCCAGCGACAAACTGCAGCTGCTCAAAGGTGACATCACACTGACATCACTCCAGCACTAGCGAGCTCTGCAGATGGACAAGCTAGCTAGCTAACTAGCCAGCCCTCCTCTCGGGATCTCCCGTCTTCTCTTCTCCCATCAAGTAGTCTACCAGTAGGCGACGCGGCCCCAGAGTTCTTCAGCAGTTATCAAGAAAAGACAACAACACTTGCTAGCCAGCATTAACTAATGTGTTCGGATAATTATTCTGCTTTTAGCTAAGCTCCGCCCACAAAAAGTCATGATTCCTAAAGGAAAAGAGGTTTATACAAGCTAGCGCTGTAACTCTGTCCTCACTGGTTGCTGATGTAGGTGACTTTTTTAATTTGGCAGAACGCGTAATAAATACCATTTCAATATTACAATCAAACCGGTGTAAACTTGTAGACCCAAAAACCACCCAACACTAGTGTTAAAGTTTTTGTTTTATTTATCTTTTACAGACCTGGAGAAGTCTTACGGAGACAACCAGCAGACTCTGGAGGTGAAGGTGGAGCAGCTGGTGGAGCTGGAGGCGGCCGTGAAGGAGCTGCTTCAGGAGATCAGCCGCAAGGTCACCATCTACTCCACCTGTCTGTTCTAGGGTTAGATGTGTTGGATGTGTTTCTGGTTAAATTGTTTGAGAGCACAAAGTTCTTCGTAGATTTAGATTTTTTTTTTTCTTGATGGGTTGCCGATAGATGATTCGACCTTTGACCTTTACTCCGCACTGAATCAGAAGTGACCTCTTTTACCAATCATAGAAGAGAGAGAACCAAAATTAAAGATGTTTATTCCAAAATCTAATTATGGTGTTTGAATGAAAACCAAAGATATTTTATGGGCTATTCAAGACGTTAAGTAGCTATAAAATATAAATCTTGATATTTAAAGAAAACCTTTCTCAAAGCTTCAGTAAAGTTTTTAAAATTGTACTTTTGAGTTTTGAATGTCTTTGTGAATGTAATAAAATGAAAGTTCAAGTCTAAAGTTATGAAACAATGAATGTTAAAACCATGTGACCACAGATTTTTTTACTTTCTTATTTTGTATTTCCTGTTTGTTTTTTTGTTTTTACGTGGCCAAAATTTTTTACCAAAATCATTTTTAATAAACGCTCCTAGTAAAATCCCAGAGTGCTCTGCTCCTTATTAAACACCAGTTAATACATCTGTTTTATATCATATACCTACGTCTTGTATCCCCTCAGAGTACCTGAACATGAGCATCACCTCCGGTTACAGGTCATCATGTTACTGTAGACAGAAACCTGAACATACCGACTCGTATACATATACTGTTGTTAGTTCATGATTGTCTACGAACGAGACTCAGGAGGACCGATGTTGATTCTCAGGTGTTGACGTGCTGAAGTCAGCGTGTTCTCTCATTTCTCATTGTCAGCATTTCTGAGTTTGCGTGCATAGCTACTGTAGCATAACCCATTCGATTTGTTATATTCTTCATTACAGTGGCTAAATGTCAGTTATACATTTAAACGTACACTAATTCTGTTAGTCTCTTAGCTCTTTCCTTCTTTTAGCAACTTTCTAATCCCACAGTTTTTTAAAAGCTAAGCCCCGTTATTGATGGCTATCGTACTTTAGCAGCTGTTGATGGTCTCTGTATGTCACATGTTGAGCTTTTCCTCTTCAGTGAGGATACATGTAAGAAATGTAGTTTATTTGCAGTGTTCTAATGTGTACCCTATTACCCCACTAAAGAGCTGCACTCCCAGAATGCAGTTACTTGTGGTTCCTAGAGTCTCAAAAAGTAGAACGGGAACCAGAACCTTCAGTTATCAAGCTCTTTTGTGGAACCAGCTTCCAGTTTCAGTCGAGGGGGGCAGAAACCCTCACCACATGTAAGAGTAGGCTTAAGACTTAAGTTAGGGCTGGTTCAGGTTTATAGTTAGGGCTGGCTCAGGTTTACAGTTGGGGCCGGCTCAGGTTTACAGTTGGGGCCGGCTCAGGTTTACAGTTGGGGCCGGCTCAGGTTCACAGTTGGGGCCGGCTCAGGTTCACAGTTGGGGCCGGCTCAGGTTTATAGTTACTTGTCAGCCCACAGGTGGCCACATTCACTATCAACCACAGCAAGAAGTGTTATACCGGGGTGTACCTTCAAAGTATGGAGGATCAAACTACCAGTTAGTTGTTCCATCTGTGCTAGTCTGAGTTTCTGGCTTACTTCAAAATAAGCCCATTTAGGAAGGATGAAGACGCTCTTGAAGATCCTAGAGGTGCCGTAGTGGCCAACAGTCTGCTTGTAACGAAGAATATAACACAACTAACTGGGTTAAGCTGGAGCAGTTTACTCCCATTAAAACAAGTAGACCGCCAACCGGAAGTAAGACAACAATCTTACAGCAGGACGTCAGCCAAGCGGCTCTGTGAGTCTCTCTTCATATACTTCGTAACTGCTGGTCACTCACTGACATTTTAGATTTATTGATCTTTGTTTTACAATGACCACAGAGTGACCTATTACCAGTATTTAATGCGTCTATACCTTAGGAATAGCATTACTTCACTTAAAGCGCCCAATAACCACTTGTATTTATTAATAATTCAATTCTATTTTATTTGTACTACCCAAAATCACAATCTCAAATTTGCCTCAGAGGGCTTTACAATCTGTACAACATATTTAGATCGTCCCATGGGTAAAATAAAAACTCCCACAAACAAATTTCTAACTGTGAAAAAAGGAAGAAACCTCAAGGAAAGCAACAAAGGAGGGAACATTATCGATCCATATGACATTAATGATACATGACAGGAGTAATAGCACGAATAATAACAAATGATTACTACAAATAGTAACAGTAGTGGTTGATATAATAGAATAATAATGATGAAATAGCATTAATAGAAATGTGACTTATAATAATAATAATAATAATGGTAGCAGTGGGTGTCCGGTATGACCTGATGGAAACTAGTGAGGAGGAAGCACATGCGTTAATGGGACACAAACGCACTATCCACATTATATTACATCATAACAATATAAAATGACTATAATGTAAGACAACTATGTAAATATTAGAACACTATGCTCCTTATCAAAGAAAAGTCAGTGAGTGACCAGAAATTCTGTAGTATGTAACTGAACCAGTCATCATAAAATGCTTTGTTATAAAGCATTGATATTTATATATGCTTATAACAATACAATGATATGAGCAGATAACACAAATTGTTTATAATGTAATGTATATTGTTATGAAGCATTAATGATATTTATAAATTGTCACGGGGTGCGGTAGAGAACTCAAACCAGGTAGAGTAGCGTGAAGCAGGTGTTTATTAAACACAAATAGGAATCGTTACCAACACACAACAGGGAGTCCAAGCACAAGACAAGAGACGAGACGAGACGAGGGGGGAAATCCAGCAGGAATGAGGCGAGGCAGGCAGGCGGCGAAACCGGGAACAGGACGAGACAACCGGGCGGGTAGAACACAATGACTTGGCAGTGAGTGACTGAGAGGCAGGGGTTTAAATAGTGGCTAGAACAGGTGAGGAGAGTTGTGCTGATGAGGGAGAGCTTGATTAGAGGCAGGGGCAGGTGAAGGGAGTTGGACTGGTGCTGAGGGAGTGGCTGACAGGTAGAGTGAGGAGGGAGGAGCTACAGAAAGACACACAGAACACAGAAGGCAACGCCTGATCGTGACAGATATGCTAATAATTATATGAAGTGATATAAGCAGATTACAACACATTATACGTATCTTTAGCATATTTAGCAGACACATAGCTACATTTAGCCCACTTGTAAAATGCATTCATGTGTTAGGTTCACATGTCTGTGCGTGCGTGCGGGCGTGCGTGCGTGCGTGCGTGCATGTTTTGAACAGATGAATGTTGGCAGTGAATAGAGACAAGCTCTCATTTAACAAACAATGAGGTTCTTTGTTTCTTTACTTCTCTCTCTCTGTGTGTGTGTGTGTGTGTGTGTGTGTGTGTGTGTGTGTGTGTGT